TTTCATGATTCCTGTAGAAGATGCGTGAAGCAAGGACGATACTAGTAGGGCCTAGCGTTACTACTAGGAACAAAAAGCTACTAGTAACAAGGGCATCGCTACTAGGAACAAAAAACTACTAGAGATGCAAAAGAGACTTCTCGAGACTGTCCGTGTCATGGCGGGACTGTCTCTTCAAGCTGCTCTCGCCGTTGGCTGTTGCAGTACTGGTTGTCAGTCGTCCACTTAATCATCTTAATCAGCACCTGAAAACAATGGTGTTTTGACCGTGCACCGACAACAAGCTACTGACCATGCACCGAAGACAGTGGGTTGGTATTTGGCTTGGCACCACCGTACACCAAGCTGTCTCCAATGACGGTTGAAAGACCCAACCTCATCATCAACCGAATCGTTACTACTCATGTGAGGGTGGCTCAAAATAAACTGAGCTCCCAAAAGAACATGCATGTTTAATTGTTTGGACGAAAACACAAATCCACCAGGGATGATGTTCAGGTGTCACAGGAGTTCGTCAGATGCAATCCCGGATCTCAACAAACACAGAACCCGTCCGGCTGGGCGACAAGCCTCTCCTGCCTCGATCTTGAAAAACATCCACAAGAACAAGGGCTCTGATCCATGTTGAATAGGACACCGCAATGGGGTGGTAAAACCAAAGACAACTATGGGGTCTTTGAAACGTCACTTGTTCTGATCCATGTTGAATGGACATAACACAACAACCTCGCTGTTCCTCCTGTCTGTTCCTCCCCGCCATCCTAAAACAAACACATAATCGAACTGATTCAATAAATTAGAGATAATTAGAAGGTGTTTTTCCTGTTTCTCTGAACCAGGTCCATTTCTAACCAATCCATGGGACCACATCGGCCCAATGGTGAGCTGCGACCAATCGCTTCTCCTAGGCACTTGTGAAACATCTTCATGAGGGAGAGATTCTAAAACGACGTGATGCATGGTCAAGCTTGTGGTGGTTTGTAGGTCGAGGTTCTGTAGAACATTGATTGATAACCCCCGCAGATGAAAAGGCTTTACAATCCAAATGGGGAATGTTATCAATCAAGATTCTACATGAGCTCAATCTATATTGGATTGATTGATAACATCCCCCAAAGTAAATTGGATCTATATTGGATTTAGCTCAGCCTCCCGGCCTCCAGCACTTGATCCCGAAAGATCTTCCAATTCTCGTCCAGCACGGTGGCAAAGGCTTCCCGATGTGCCATGGCACTGGTGGAGGGAAGAACGTCGAGGTTCGAGGTTCGACTTCGAAACCGCAATGGTGAACTCAGTGGCCGGCTCGACAAAGAGTAAAGACACTGTCTATGTATGTATGTCTAAATGTATTATCATATTCCATTAACTCTAGAATATTCTAGAGGTATTGTTGTTTGCGGTTTATGCCAAAGGCGGCTTGCTTCTCTGAAAGCACTGATATCCAGCGGCCTGGCTGATCCCCTTGATTTTTTGTTGCTGTCCAGCGGGCCGGTGCGGGCCGGTGGCCGAGCTTGCCTTTTTGTGGCCGGTGGCCGAGGTTGCATACAGTTTGTGCCAATGGCTCTTATCAAAGTCCTTTTGATCTATCAAGCAAAATGAACATCGTTCACATCTCAGAAAAGTGGAATGCATTCCTGAAAACACCCCTCAATCAACTGGGCACCCGCTTTTACCCTATTGAACGTTCTGTCTCGGAAAAATCTTGGGCCGACAGAGCACAGTGAGGCCAGTTTACTTGAAAGAAAAGGGGTGCAAATTCTTGCCCCCGCCTAAACATTTCATGCACTCGATGCCGAAAGAATTTACATTTGCTGCTACTTACTTGATGCAGTTAGTTTCACCGGTGTGTGTGCAAGAGCCTATGCTCCAATCACATGTTCTTGTAGAGCACCACCTGCTTGCAATGGAATATCTTTCAAGAGGCGACATCATCCACTTCATGCTTGTTGGATGGAACATCTTGACGTCATTCATGCTGTGGCACACCACTCATGCACTCCCAAAATATATCACGCATGAACAAATCCGATGAAACTGTTCAGTGTCAAGTTCGATGTCCGTTGCGTTTCTCTGCGTGAGTTCGGACCTGTCCATGGTACGAAACTGAGACGATCAGCGGCACCCAGGGGGTGGTTAAAGATGCCCCCCTGACGATGTATGTTCCATGCAACAAGCATCTTTTGGGTGGTTCTGGTACAGGTTTGAGTGAGTCTTGCTTGAATGGTCTTCCAGCTTTGGCAGCGTTGAGATGTTCCAACAACTCTCAACAAAACTACATCTGGCTATCACAACTTGTGTTCAAACAGGAAGCATCTCGCACATCTCTGGATTTTCACACCTTCAGCATGCTGATGATTTGGCCCTTGACCTATAGACCTTGCTCTGGCGAGAAAGGAGGTCGTCCAGGCGTGCCACGCAGTGACAAAGGCCGGTGAAGATGGATTCGATCGGGTCGTATTCTCGTTACACTACCGCGTCCCGTTCAGAGTGCTTCAGACTGGTTGGGTATCTTTCGAGTTGTATGTGGAGTTTCCAGCTTGTACCCCACAAAATAAACATGACAGGGCCTGAGTAGAAGTTATGTCCCCATGTTGGATAGGCACTGAGACTCCAGGAAGAATTACATATTTTCTGGCACTTAGCCCAAATGTTCCTTGTAGGTCTCCACTTGTCCGAAATACAGGAAAACTAGTGACTCTTCACAAACAATAGGTTAATTTTGCTTGCCGCTTGCATTCAGATTCAAATAACAACAAAATTGCAAGTCATGAATGAGCTGTGAACTCCACCTCTGCATCAATGAGGGCCGCTGGATTCCGTTCAGGCCTTTCAATTTGGGTAACACATAATGATGCATTTGATGATAGTCTTGCCTTCTGATTCCATAAGATTGATGAGCACAACGTCTATCTTCTAGTTTGCGTATGTTTGCTTTGGAAACACAATGCTGCGACAAGGCGTCTATTCTGTTCTATCTCTTGGAGAGTGTTTCTCGAGGGGTGAAACCAAAGGTGCAATGAACACATCCAGATCTTATCACAGTCTCCAAATCTTTCTAGCTTGAAGGCTTCTTGGCAAACATTTTTCTAAAATGCAAGATGCCTGCCTGACACAAGTGGAAACACATGATCCATGTACCAGCTGTGCAGTAGATTTGTGTGTTCATATGCAATTGAATAAGAATGTCATGTCATATGAATTGTTTCCAAGATTCGTACCTTGTACAAAAAAAATAAATACACCAGTAGTGTTGGACATCAAGTATTGGATTTCAGAACATGCTCGATCTGTCATCTTTCCGGATCTGCGGGCTTTACGGCACGCCGATGAAAGTGTTGTGCCTCTTACATCCACTTTAGACGAGGCAGTTCTCCATGAACTTGCCATAGGTCCCCCAAGTGTGAACCAGAGGACGACATGAAATCTTTAAAGCGACTATGGCAAGTTGCCAGTGTCGTCCCTTTAGGAGCAACACAGCTTGCGATGGAGCACATCTGTCGCAACCTGGGATCATTCTCCTGTCTCTATGTCAACCACCTATAGAATGGGTCTATGGATGTCTATGGTATTCTTTTGGCCGAGCAGTGTCGCGCAGATTTCAGGGCTGTCAAGAACAGCATTCTCAACTGGAGGGAAACCAAAGAAACATCGCTATCTCGCCCGACTACTCACAGTTCTGGACTCAAACCTCCGACACAACAGTCGTTGACCTCTTTCACAAGCTTGACACACACACACAGTCGAAGTGCTTCATGTCTGGCTCAGTACGGTGATCCGTACCGGATGTTTTCTTCACGGTGGATCCCATTGAAGACTTCACTCCGACATGCGCTCCACTCGAGTCACAACTCACCCCGAGAGCTCCTGGAGACAAAAGCAACCGTCTGGTCGTGAGCCAACCGCCCGCGATTCCATGCAAATACCGCGTCCCGTCGCGACGACCGAAAACAAGCTTGCTCTCAGTGACATGTGTGTTTTGCTGAGAGGGGGAAGTGACGGCGGCATTCGACCGAAGTTTCTTTGTTGAAGTGTTGATCCCCGAAACTCAGCACTTCCTCAGACACATGGTGGATCATGGTGAATCCAAATACAATGCAAAGGTTGGGTCACATGGTTCTCCATGGGTGAAGTGCTGCTGCATCGCTGATGCTCTGATGCTCCAATTATGGGTGACTGATGGTGTCTGAGTCATTGTAGGTTGTAACAAGTAGCCGCATCCATCCCAAACACAAGCAAAGAGGAGTCCACTTCGAGCGACTTCGAGTCTCCAACTGATAGCCTTGTCACAAAGACGTGGTCACAGAAACTGCTCGGTTTAACCTCACCATACCTGAAAAAACCATCGTCTGCCGTACAAAAACACATGCAGAATCACCGTACCCGTAAAGGGAAACAAAAGCAAACGACACCCGTCCGATGTTGAGGCTGGAGGATCTTCAACACGGTGTGCCGAAACTGGGCTTCATCTTCTTTCAGCTCCTGCGAGATCGCAGGTGCCGAGGGGAGCGGAGGCGTAGCTCTGGTGGAGTGGCAGTGGGCAAAAGACCGTGAGGTGGAAAGGAACAAAACGAAGGTGATGTTTAGGGAGAGCTCGAGTTTGCAGGGATTGAATCACAATATATTCGTGAAGAATCAACGATCCATCCAATGTTTGTAGTAAATTGGTCAATTTGCAAATAGTTTGTCCCATTTACATGCACCCGGCTTCCATCTTTGTACAACCTACACCTCTCATGGGCTTCAAACTGCACCTCCTCTGGCGCTCCCTAAGCTTAGTGGAAGAATGCCTAAGCTCCTCAGCGTAAAGAAATGGACATCTTAGCTGACACAAAGCTGGCACCAACTGTGCCTTCTCGATCCCATGAATGCCCCATGAACAAACTGCCCACAGAAGTTTTGTGATGAGTGATCCTTCTCCATCCGGCTCCGCCTGCCGGCCTTCCCCCCCGTGGAATCAAAGCCACCGCAATCAAATCCACCAAGCCACCCGGAACATCCGGTCATGCGACCTTCGGGTCGAAAGAAACCACACGAAACCACCCTCTCGTGAACTCGGGTCGAGTCTCCAGGACCATGTTCTGAATGGCTTTCGTGGCCAGCAGCGTAGCCACCGCGTCGCTCTTCTTCACCTCGCCGCGGATCTTCAGCAGGCCCTGTGCACGGGCCCGGTAGCGGAAGCTCTACGAGAAGGAAGTTGAGAAGCTGGGAATGGTGGCACCGGGCAAGGGGTTGAACCGAAGAATTGTCTAGAAGTCATGGACAAAACACTTAATGGACGAATGAAAATTGCCCTGCTTCTTGGATGACCTTCACGGTCTGATCTGAAGCTTGCACATTCTGTTTCACACGTGTCGCAGCACACGGGGCAAGTTCATACATTGTTCATAATTATATAACATTCCTAAAAATGTGAACCATCTGCAAGCCTTTGTCATGTTCAAGATGATGATTGTCTTTCAGAAATCAAGCCAATGGCATGACAAATAAACAAGAGACTGAAATTTGCCTGGAATGCCTGGGTATGGCTCCACTTAATTCAACTGGTAAAGATAGTGTATACACAATATACCACAATATGTATAGACCCCAAACACTTCCCAAGTCTCTTTAGGAAGAATAATGAAACACGTGTCAGTATACAGGACGCCCTAAATCTACGCAGTGGGGGGTAGTCCAAACAGGCGATAATTTCCGTGTTTTCTGGCAACCGTCGAAATCTTCACCGCTCGCCTGCACCAATTCGGTCACATGCAGCGTGCCGCTGCCGTCGGCATCAATGATCTGACAGGGCCAGGTGAGGACAGGGGTAGCTAGGGCCAAGTCGAACCAAGGGGTAAAGACAGGGTCACACAAAAGAACAAAACAACCTGAAGGTGGCCATGTGTTGGTGTGGAAGTTCAAGAGGCCTCCTTCAGCTTCCATGATGAGAGGGGGTCGGAGGGAGGGTGTCTCAATAGAATATTATACAGTACAAGGATTACACTCCCTGAAATAATCATGGAAGCACAAACAGGTAGTTATCACTCCACTTCCATGATATCAGGGAGAGTTACTATTCTTTTGAGGCATCTGGTAGGTGTGTGTTGTGTTTTCTGTTTCAAGGTTTGCGTGGGCTTGAAAAAGTGCATGCTCTTCAATATGCATGTTCTTCAAGGAGACATCTGCAATGTATATATATATATATACACATGGCGTGCACACAAGTGTGCGACGGATTACATCATAAGAAGCCGATCAAACTCACGGGAAGCAGGAACAGGGGAACAGAAAAGACCCTGATGGATTCAAGGTCATGAACCCTAGGGGCTCCAAGTTAAGTTTGGATGACAAGATGTTGAAGTGTGTGAGCCGAAAAGAAAACATGCTTCTCCGAATCGGCTTGTCCTCCATTTTGAGGTCTAGCCGTCTAGCCAAAGAAACCAGCACAGTATAGCGATCAGCTGTGAAAGTCAACCCGACCTCGATCCTCCAAGTATTGAGATTCAGTCGTCCGCCCACTCCCTCCCGTCTTCCGCCCGAAACACGTGTCGAGGTGTCGCACCTCGAAGAGGTTCGCACGGTCGTGCGGGAGTTCTAACTCATCCTCACACGAAGAAGGACGCTATGCTCGGTGGAGGCCGCAAGTAGGAGGCCATCGCACCTAGAAACAAAGAAGCTACTATTAACTTAAGGTCTCGTATTGTCATGTTACATACTTGTCATGTGTTTTTGCCGAGCCATGCGGCGAAGTAGACATGGGGCCCCACGGCGAAACTGCGGGGGTGGATGAGGTAGACATCACCCGCGGGTGTTGCTCAGGTTCCAACTATTGTTGTTTGTGATTCCTCATGGTTCTTTCTTTGAAGACATTTTGTATCCTTTTGTGGGTGACTCTGTGCTACACATTCAACCATATTCTCCGTTCCCATTCTCGTTTGGCTCGTTTTCCCAAGACCGAACATGAACGGCTCGGTTCTGTGTTGCTTCGTCTCCGCACCAGGGTTTGTGGGCATTTCTATGCGGACCTGCCATTGCACAAGTATTTCCAAAACGATCGTTAAAGGATAACGGTTGAACATAACATGATATTTAAGTTTTGAACTAATATATATATATATAATTTTACATTGTAATAACCTTGAACTGATACTATAATGATATTGGATAGATTTGGATAGTATATGATATCAATATCCTTGAACCAATTGTGCACTTGTTCTTTGATTGGTGTGCTGGCCAGAGGTTGAGATTCAGGTGGATAACATGGATGTGGGACATGGCAAGTGAATCGGTCTAGGCCGAGAACAGAATTCTGGAATCCGGGGGCAGTGGTATTCACTTTGTGCTTTGGGATGCTTTGGTGTATATAATATATGGAATATAATATACATATGATTACATATGTAATGTTCGACCCACTGACAAGTAGCGGGTCGTTGGTGATCACCAGTTTGGGACTCCCAAAAAACACCTTTCTGGGACTGTGAACGAAACTGCGCTTCATCTCAGAAAACGACGAGCCAGCAAGCAAAAGAACTGCACCTCGAGAAAGAAAAGCATGCACATCTTAAACACTCCACGAACCCCTGACTTTCAGAATCGCATCGAATCCCGTAGATTCATCCCCACACATGACCCATGGGACGGACCAAGACAACCGATCAGCTGGGGTGTCAAACCAATGGCGTAGGTCAATCTTCGAGTCAAAACCGGTTAAAACCAGGTAGGCCAAGTCTCCATCAAGAATTGCACCGACTGATCCTGGATGATGAGCAAGAACAGTTCCTTTGTGATCGCCTTGCTTCGACAAATGTGAAAATCGCAGTCTTCAACCGCCGATTCCGTTGGGTCCGTTTGGGAGTCATAATACGTGTACATGCACCATACACGCCCTCATTGTTGCTTACATGTTGTTTTTTTCCCGAGGATCGTGTGTACGTATATACACATAATCATGCATACACGGGAAACATTTATCATATTTGGTGTCAATCTCTCATGCATCCTATGCAACAGGAGAGTCCTTCGAGGACCACATTCATGCAAACACCTGTTGAATCTGCAAAATCTGCCACGCTCAAGCCAAACCCACACAAGTTCAAAAACTAACGAACGCACAACAAACATGTCCTTGTTGGTGATGGATGCATTCTTAAGTTTCTTTTTTTTTTCACCGTTCGCTGATTCAAGAATCCGATACAAAGCTGCTCCTGGTGTGAATTTCAGGACTCAGGACCACCGGCAGAGAGAGAGAGAGAGAGACAAAGAGTCCATGTCAGGTGGGAACCCAAGTCTTCACATCCTTCGAGGCACGATGTGCTCATGGATGTCTTCATCCGTGAAGCTGCTCTCCTTAGTCATCTCAAGACACCGCCAGGACACCGCGACAGGCCTGGAAGTGGGCGGAAACAACATGAAGAGATTTGCGAGCTTTCGGAATGGTCTACCATGGACCAACCGCTTGCAACCAGCTTTGACCACTTCCTAGCTGGATAGATATATAATATATATATACTGTATATAAACCTTTTTTTGCGTTATTCCAGTCCGAGCGAACCTTTTAAAGTCAACTTGGCTGGGGAAAGCAAGACCCATGGTCCATGGTTATATAGTCCTAGCCTAGCCATGCACAAGCTTTCCCTAACACATCGCCTAACCAGGCATTTTACACGCTGGTTGTACTGGGAGGCTCGGGTAAACTCACAAAGAATGATGCCCACAAATAGATGGGGGCGGATGAAGCAACGTATGGATATGGACTTGTTAGCATATCTAACGAAGTCTATCCGGAACTCAAAGGCACGTCATCTTCCCAGCTCCGGGCCACACTTCTTTCCGCCCGGGTCTGGGTCTGCCAAGAAAACTGGGAAACATAGACCTCATTTTCCACCAAGGTGATCCGGAAAGCCAAACACTCAAACCATACACACAACCATTACACTCCGGTTAACTGACCAAGCAATCAACTGTTTTGTGACTATCGATGCGCGTTACAAGGTCGGAGCCAAACGTGGCATTAAAAAAAGACCAAGCAATCAAAGCCCATTCTCAGATGATGAAGCTATGGACAACTATTTATGGTCGAATCTGTGTGTAGTCCACACAAGGGAAGGTGGAGTCCATACAACCCTCAAGAGGTGAGTGGAACAATCTCTTCCAAATGTTGGTTCATTGATATGGTGTCTCTGCATCGAACAAGCAAATCCATCTCCACCATCTTTTTTTCAACCGGTGCAGTCCACCCAACCCACATGGAAGTTTCCATGATAATGGCCCGTAATGTAGACTCTTGATAGATAAAACCTTCAAAGGATGTCCAATTCAAAAGAGGGTGGTTTATTAGTCAAGAGTCTACAACAAAAAAACAATTCTTCACCCAACCTTCGTGAATTCAGTGCGTTCGGTGCCAAGCCGCCATGGGTTTGAAGTCAATACGGGTACTGCGGCTTTGAGCCTTGGTCGAAATCGACGGATGCCATGGGCCTATAGAAGGACTGGGGGAACATCATGTGTGAAACCTGGGTGAGACACTGAACAAATAGGCCAAGAAGGACAAACTGTGTATATGTGTGCATGTTTGGTGGGTTCTCAGCATGGAGAATTTCTTTGAACAAGTCCCAAAGAAATAGATATGGACGTGACATTCACTGGGTGAAATTGGATTCGGAATGTACCAGCCGTTCTGGTCAACCAGTAAGAATCTCATGGTCCAGGTACTTCACAGCAACTCGTGCGGCTTGGTAGTCCAGTGTCGGCCCTTTGTCTCGGTGATGGTCCTGGTGGTGAAGGAGCCCTTGACCACAGAGGATTCAAGGAATATATGCACGCCAAGTTAGCAACGAATATATTTATGTATGTAATACATATATATATATACTTCAAGAACCCTAAAGTGTACGCTTCTTACTCTGTTCCAACATGACACTTGCGGTCTACAGCGGATCGGATTGACACGTCCATTTTGCCTGGCAGGTACAGCACGGTCAGATTTCCACACCCGTTTAGATTTATAATACTTATAAGGCTTTCAGGTGTGGAAATCTGACCGCAACTTAGGCGTCGACATGTTGCACGTAGGATTCTAAGGGGAAAGGGTTTGTCCCGTTTTAGAAGTCAAGAAGCGCAACTTTCGCCACCCCAGTGTATATATGTATATGTAGTAAGGCACACAGTCGCAGTACTAACGTACGGCCCGTGAGCCAAAGGCTAACCGCCAGCACACAATTGACTCAACTCCCCTGAAATCCCAACTGGGCTGGGTCAAATGAAAAAGAACACATTATATATTATAATATATATATTATATATATATATAAATTCATCGAGCAACAGCAATACCGTACCGTACCCATACAACATGATGATCTCTGAAACTACTGGCCAAATATTGGCCAAATTTATGTAGGTAGACAATGGTAGACATACTATGCGTGGATGTCGTCCGAGGCGCATGGTCGTCCATGTCCGAGAACATGCGATAGGCTGCAGCAAACTTCTTCAATAACTCGCCTTGGTAGCCAAGGACATGTATGATACGTTTCCAATACACAACCACCACCCACAAAAGCCCACTAGATGAGCAATATATCCCCGAAGAAACGTCTCTATTGACAGCCCCGTTTAGGTTAAGGGGTGTCGCATGGTGCCCATCAACCAGCCCTTGTGGGTCGTGGCATACATGAAAATGGAAGAAGTCCACGTTGTTGCTGCTTTCAAGATATCTTGGTCGATCAGGTTCTCTGATTGGATATCTTGACTGAGAAGGCTCCTTAGACTGGCAAATGTCAGGAGGTTTTCTACCATATTGAAACATCTGTGAAACATATACATATACATAATTTATAGCTCAACAAACTCAGGCTTTCATGCAAAACACATATTGGAGACCTCATGAACCAAGTAGTTGCGAACAAAGTGCAAAACATTTGCGACCCTAGGATCCACAAACCCTCTGGGAAAATGATGGGGGATGTGATATGATATGATGCGAGGTTGGTGGGGATCCAACTACCTTTTGAGGATTTGTATTTTAGTCAGTGCTAGCTGGCCCAAGAAATTGCCAGCAATGTGTTGCACACAAAACACTCTGATGTGCCTGACATGCTCCATGACACCCAAGCTGACCGCAGTACTCAAACTTACACATGCTTAAACTATGCCAAAAACCGCAGCAAAATATGCAAAATCCTAAAATGCGCACCCAGCCTGCCTCGCTATGCAGTGCACCCCCAATCCCTCCGGTCCCCCCCCCGAAATGCTGTGCATACCTGATCCCTTCGGGATAATTAATCCTCACGCTCCCACTGCCCTCCACGGCACGCGTGGTCCGAGCAATGCGGATGGACTCGCGACTGTGCTGCTCGGCTGTGACCGCTTCGCTCTCCTACCGACGGGAGGAGCGAGACGGGCGCGGTCGGCGAAGCGGTGAACAGGATTGTTCCGTCAATGGAAGAGGGAACCGGTGCGAGCAACGTTGCTCCGTTTCGTGTGCTGTAGTCTAGAGGAATGGAGATGATGTGTGCGTTTTTTTTGTGTTGTTGTCTTGATTGACAAAGAAAACAGGCTGTTTGCGCATGTTTGAGTGCATAAGAAGAGTGGTAGTCAATCCAAGCCTCAAACATCCTCAAACACTGACACCTTGGAGATTCTGCGGCGGACGGGGGTTCTTCACACATGCTTGCATGATCTTGCATGCTGCCGAAATCGGCCAAACCTCGAGTCAAGACTTCCAGATCAATTCATTCTGGAACGTTACAACCCCAGCAGCTGCAAAAGTTCTCTGGTTTGTCATTACTTTCCAGGAGATGATTCGAAGACCTGACCCTCACATGTCAATTAGCAACCTTTCCATGTTCATCCAGGCCAAGTGAAAGGCCGTTTCATCCAGTTCCAAGGTGACATGGTGCTGGCTTCCATCTCCTCAGCGAAAACTGTATACCAAGACTCAGACTCAGACTTGAATCATAAATCATTGGTCATGGATGAAGGACAGATTGTTGGAGACAAACCAGCTTGTTAGTATACAGTGAGCCCTTTCGGAATCAGAATCCCATCCCATCCAAACTCAAAGCCATCCATACCAATGCATGTGTCCTTAGCTGCTCGCATGGTGATGTCCACGTAGACCTGAGGCTTTCGCAACTCAAAGGTGCTGAAAAGTGTTAGGGTAAATGTAACAGCCGAGTCTGACCTCCTGTCCGCTACGAGCACGACCCTGTTGGAAAAGGTCGAAGATGTTGAGGAGTTTGCAGACTCGCAGGACTCTGATGGTCTCTGTAAAGGATGGTCTGTACTTTGATAGTTTCTTGGACTTTCTTCACGGCCGCCCAATGCTCAGCACCCAAGTTCAGCACAAAGGCAAACAGAGTTTTTGTTCAAAGTGCTAGTTGTTCCAACGTACAATGGACAACGTCTCGCACCTGGACCTGGCTACGATGAGGACCTCAATACCATACACGTTCTCTCCAGATCAGGGATATAGGTGAACACGCCTATACTATTCATATATCTTTACAAGAGCTTACATCTGGAAGCATCTCCTTCCCTACAAAGATGCCTGCATGGTCTGAGAGGGAGTATTTATATAATATATATATATATATGTCAATAGGGATGGGGTCCCAGTATAGTCGCTATACAGGTACATGCCATATACTTTTGGCTCAAGTGCCCAACCAGGTAAAAAGGAGCTTTAGCGCGCGAGCTTCATGTTGACCTAAGAGCTAGAACGGGGCCAGGGCACACCTTTCCATCCGTTCACAGGTTATCAGCCGTAGCCAGACTCCTTTGAGCTGGGTACGAGCTGCGGCCTTACACAACACCATCTAAACGCACACGCATCGGATAGATCAGTTACCCTCAGTCACTGAAGATGGACCAATCCGACGCCAGCACTGCATCTTTTGGAGCAGCTGCTGCGGCTGCAGATCGGATGAGTGCATCCCACAACTCTAGTCCAGGTACGATCGAAGCGGAGACTCTGACAGCGGTGAGAGAAGATGCGACAGGTAGAGCCCGAAGTCGTTCCCCGTCAGCGCACTCGACACCACCGTGGGGGACACCGAGATCAGGCCGTAGCCCTAGGGAGACAAGGAGGAGGACTGACACCGGAGCTGTGAGAGTGTTAGCATTGGAGGATGGGTCAGCTGTACCAGTGCCGTCGGACAGCGAAGCTGGAGATCGAGCAAGGGCAAGCACTGACAACCTACAACTAGCACGGGCCGATGGAGACCTGAATGCGAAGTGTGCGCAACTACTTGCCGAAGTGCATATGTTGAACCACCAAAACGCATGGATGGTCGAATGTGAGCAGAGACAGAACCAGATTATACAACACGAGACCGAAGTCCACGAAGTAGTGATGGCACACCTCGAAGAATGTTATGTCGAAGGATATGGAAATCAACGAAGAATCTCCCAACTTACAGAATCCAGAGACTGTTTGCTCTCAGCAGCACACGACCTGCAATACCAGATGGACACTGATCGTGTGGCAATGCGGGATCGTCTCACCCAGTTAGGGGAGTACGCTGATCGCAACAGCGCAGAGATGGTTAGTCAAGTTGTGAACATCGGCACGGAAGAGTTCCAGGCTATATCGGCGGAAAGAGATCGAGCCGTAACCGAAATCATGACTACAATCGCAGATGCTGAGAACGTCAAGGATCTGTGTAGACAGGAGTTAGTTGGACTACAAAGGCAGAGTGCCAGAAACAAACACGAATATGCTGAAGAGATGAAGATGAGGGAAGCAATGTATGCAAACAAGATCAAATGGTTATCAGAAGAGAATGAGGAGCTCAACAACCGATCTAATACTCAGGATAAGTTCATCTTGAGCATCAGAGAGCAATTGAAGAAGGCGAACGAGGAGTTGACTCAGACGAGGATTCAAGGATCCGATCGATCGTTTCAACCATCTAGCGCCGAACTCAAGAAGGCCGAAGCCAAGGTGAACATGTTGGAAGAGGACATTCTACGTAAAGAGAGGATGCTGAAACGTCTTCAGGAAGAATTGATCGAATCAAGCGCAAGTGAAGCACAATTGAAGGTCGCACTGAAGTTGAAACCACCAGACATGGGATCAGAACCCAGTGTGGAGAATGAGATGATGACCAAGCTTAGAGCGGAACTTGAACGTACTGAAAAGTTATTAAGGTCCGAGGAGAAAGAGGCAATTGAGTACTACGAAGGTATGATGCAGAACCAACAGGACATGATGGAATTCGAAGCGCATGCATCACGGCTCAGAGATGAGAGGAATAAGTACCGGAAGAGGTACGAAGAGGAGCGCACAAGTGCAGAGAATGCAGCCGCAACCGAACATGGTGCCGCTTCATCCTCTGGCTCAGGCGGCTCCAAGATATCTCGGAAGGAACACGAGAAGATCAACATCCCTGCATGGCCCAAGATACACGACCTGGAGGTTTGGAAATCCCAGGTTGTAGCGGCAGTCGTGACGGCATCGGGCGACGAGAAACAAGAAGACTGGATCCAATGGCTCTCGGATGCCTTCAGATCACCATATGACCCATTTCTACTCGAGACATCAGGCGAAGCAAGATTCGCTAGCATAGACGCTAAGCTAGGTATCACCCTACATACGATCATCCACGCAGCAGGTGAGAGATCTCATGACGTACAACTGAAGGTGAGGCAGATGATGCAGAGACGTGCGAGAGGCACAACTCCTGGAATGGTCAAGGGACGAGAAATGTTAGCGTTGATCGTCGATAGTTTCCGGAGTGCCGACAACGTTGATGTGATGTATGCATCCAAGCACTTATTCGATCTAAAGTTCCCTGGGGATAATCAACTATCCAGATTCCTTGGACAGTGGGATGAGATCATATCAGGTATGGATGCGGATGACATGCTTCCTGACAAAGCACTTCGCAACCTGCTTTGGGATAAGATTAAGGATTCCAAAGTTATGGCGTTAGACTTGTCTGTGTACGACAACATGTTGGATAAGGATCCGGATAAGACCTACCAGAAGTTACGAGAGATCATGACGAAGTGGATACGGAAATCAATTGAGACCACAAACAAGAAAGAAAGGGAAAAAGCTTTTGGGAACATCGTGAAAGCCACACCAGCGGCGGAGAAGAAGGACCCTAAAGCGAAACCCAAGAATACCAAGACCGATCCACCGAAACATGACGCCGCTCCAGTACTTCCTCAGGCTAATCCGAAGGACCACAACAAGAAGGACAAGAAGCAGGATCGTGGAAGATCAGCCACGAAGAGCCCAAAAGGGGATCGTGGCAGGTCAGCGACTCCAGCAGATACGTCCAAGATAGGATGCGCTTTCCACTTCCATGGGAAAAACGGATGTTCTAGAGGAGACAAATGCAAGTTTAGTCACCAAGAGAAGCACAAGAGTTCTGCTAAGAAACCAGAAAACCTCAAGGGTGACAGATCAAAGAGTCCCGGTGGCAGGAGCAGTAGCCCTAGGCCAATGAAGGATCAGGTCTGTTGGAATTGGCAGAAAGGATCGTGCAAGTTCGGGGACAAATGTCAACGTCAGCATCACGCTGCTCCTGCTACAAAACAAGAGGCTAGAGGCAAAGCCAAACCCAAACCGGCTGCGCCAGCCTTCATGCTTTGCGGAGACATCGAGAGTGATGACGAGGACGTACAACCCGCACTTCCCAACGTACAACAAGGTAAGCTGGCGCTTCGCTTTAAAGTCAGATTCGATGACCAGGCGAACGTGACCACGTTCACCTGCGATCCTGGTAACGAGTTAAACAACCGTCCCTCCAAGAAGAAGAAGAATGAGGTGCAGAAGGTGGATACCGAGCTCATTTCGTCGTTGAGAGCCCTCAGAGTGAGCAACATAGCTGCACGAGTAGCACATGCCAAAGGTAAGATGATGGAGCTATTCTATGCTGAACACATTGCCAAGGCATGGATACAAATCACTCGAGATGAAGGAATCGAGGTGAACGTCGACCTGTCTGATTTCAACACCAGAGAGGTAGTAAGGAAGGATTTTGTCGACTACACGATACCAGGAACCACGATGTTCATGGCTGTGGAGAGGTATGATGGACCACCAATACGCTTCATCATGGACACAGGATGTGGACACGATTTGATCTCAAGAGAGAAAGTCAATGCCATGGGCCTTGCCACCAAGGAAGGACCCAAATCCGTGAGCTTCATGACAGCGAATGGTGTAACTAGTACATCAGAGATGGTGGACATCAATGTGGACGAACTACCCATGAGGTCCGAGGCACACGTGTTGGAAAGCACACCATCAGTCTTTTCCATCGGGAAACGGTGCATGGAACAAGGGTACTCATTCATATGGCCGGCAAATCAATTGCCATACCTCATCGACCAGAACGCGAACAAGATTCCGCTATCGGTGCATGACAACATACCCTACATCAAGGTGAATGATGATGACGGGAGATGTTTACCAAGACCAGACGGCTTGGCTACGATACTTCATCGCATACTGTCAGGTGTGGGGCATGAAGACGAGGTCACAACAGGTCAGGAGACACAACAAGAGGAACTTCCGCCCAAGAAACCACGGAGACGGAGGAGAAAGAAGAAAGATAACCAGAGAGGTCAGGATGGTGAATCTGATATCAATCCAGCTGTTGCAGGCGTCGAAGGAGAACCAGAGGAACACGGTGATGACAGGTATTCTCCTGAAGAGGAATATGACGGGGAAGACCCGAGATTCGATCGTGATCACGAAGGTCAACCTGAAGAAGCCGGAGGCGACGAACATGGAGGTGATGCGGATTCTGAACGAGGGGAGAGTGACATTGATGAAGATGAAGAAGGACTATTGGAAGTCGATGTGGTTGACGGGGAAACCAGACTGTCAAAACCAGGAGTGCTGAAGAACGAGGCGAAATCCATATTGCACTTGATGACGCACCGATACAAGAACCCATACTGCAAGTCATGTGTGAGAGCAAAGATGAAGCACTACAAGACTAGCAAGGGAGCTTTCAAACGGAAATTGAAGGCATTCGGTGACCTTATCACTTTCGATCTCATGAACACTCAGAAGATGGCGAGAGATGGGATCATGCCGGATAAGGACATATTGGTGATTCGAGATCGGTTCACTGGTGTGA